TCCTCCCGCGGAGCGTCCCTGCCCAGCAGGAGGAGGTCACTGGCCTGCACCCCAGGATTAAATTTCATAGTGTTATTATTGCTGTTGTTATTATTTGTTATGGTTACTTGTCAGTTATTGTTATTATTGTGGCTGTTGATACGATTGTTATTACTAGGAATAGATTATCGTTGCTATTGTTATGGTTATTGCTGTTCTTATGGTCATTGCCATTATTGAGGATATTGTTGTTCTAATTTTTACTCTAGATTAATGGTGCCCTGCAACTCCAACCTGGTTGAGAATCGTAAACTTTAGATCCTCATTCCTCAAACCCTAAACCTTAAACACCTATAGTAGAAGCCAGAAAGTTGGAACATGACTATCCTGATGCCCTTAGGGTAAAGTATAAGGAAGCCTAGCACTGATCCTCCTAAAGCCATGTTCCAACTTTCTGGCTTCTACTGTAAACTAACTCCTGAACCCCTAAACTTGCCCTCAACTCCTGAACTCAACCGTTAAATTCCTAAACCCTGAACGCTCAAGCCCCAAACCCTAAACCCTACACTCCTAAACTAAAACCTACACTTGCCCTAAACTCCTTTTCTGAACTCCAAACTGCCTTAAACCCTAGACTCAAAGGGGAAAAGGAGGGACCCTTAATGGGGACCCCTACCACAAAATGGGCTATATAATGGGTATATAATGGCTATATTAGGGGTATATACCTAGGGGTCCTCATTAAGGGTCCCTCCTTTTACCCTTGGATAGACGACCAAACCCCCAAGCCGTAAACCCTACGCTCCTTAACCAAACCCTGCTTGGAGGCTCATGGGCAGCTCTAAGTGGGGTTATACGTCCCCTAATAGAGAATACAACCATAGTTATCCTACTTATAAGCCTAGTTAGAACTACCCATGAACCTGTAAGTACACGCCCCAGCCGTCGGCACCTCGTCCAGGAAGGAGCTCATCGTCTGGAAGTCCTTCTTCGCAGAGTCCATCACCTGGCTTTCGGGGGTTTCTGATGCCTCGTGTTCGGGGCCTTGTTTGGGGCTTTAGGGATGTTTCAGGGCTTGGAATTTTAGGGTGTATTTAAACAAAGTTAATAGCATAATGAAGTGTAGGATTTAAGGAGGTTTGGTCGGTGGGGTGGTGGTGCTGCTTGAGGTTGTCAGGGTAGCTTGGGTCATCCGTTTCAGGCGGATTGTGGCTTGAGGTTGTCTATGGCTGTAGATGAGAGCTTTCATCATGATTATCATCCTTATTAACCTCACTATTACTGTTACAACTAGTACTATTATTGTTATTGTTGTTGTAATTATTGGTATTAAAGCAGTATTGTTACCAGCACTGAAGGCTCCAGATCCCAAACAACGCCCTGTTCCCACTTGCATTATGGCTATTGTTATAATTAATGAATTAATGGTGCTATTAGTATGATAGTTATTATATACCATTATCATGGCTGAGGGCTCTATTATTAGTAGTACTATTGTTCTGATTATTAATATTATCAGTACTATTATCATTATTACGATTATTAAAATGATTAGTACTATTATTATCATTCTTATTATGGCTGCGGGCTCTGGATCTGCCACTTCGCCCTCTGTTCCCGCCTGCTCGGGGGTCCGCTTCTTCTTCCCTGCCAGAACCTCCGGCGCATCGCCTCGGAGGTTGTGGTTGACCTGCCATCATCATCATCGCCGTTTGTCGTCATAATTTTCATGAGTGAACCCCTTAACTACTTCAAAAAACCATGCAAAACCACTTCCCCCGATCCCCAATGCTGAAAGACCCACAGATCGGCTCAGCTTTATTGTCCGCCACCTGCTCGCAGAGACAGTAGAGAAGAAAGGGCACGTCATGGTGCGAGGAGTCCACTGCCGCAACCATGCGATCGTACCTTAACTTGTGTTCAAACCCCCTTAATGCAGGGGCCTCAATAATTTGAATAGGGTTTTGGGGCCGTTATACTCTAGTTACAATAAGGAACCCCACAATACTGGAGGTAATTATTTAGGACTCTATACTAATCACCAGAATCAGAGAAAGGTTTTGGGGCATAGTGTACTATTTACAAACAGGAGGCCTGCTGAAGAATGTTGCTAGTTATTCGGATCCCTCTATGACCTCTGCTGAACCTGAAAAGCTTCAGAGCATTCCAAGAGCACCCAAGGTACAGGTCTGTCGGCACGGGCGGGTTGTCATGCTCCTGAGTCGGCTTTACAGACAGATCCGTATGCGGATAAGGCCTTGGAGTTATATAAAGCGTAGGGTGCCGTTGTTTCGGTCTACTTGGAAGGGCGGGGGACTTAGTAAGTAGGTTATAGATAGAGTTATATGTACCCTAAATGGAGTTACCCCAATTATAACCCTACTTATGAACGACTTACTAAGTCCCCTGCCCTTCCAAGTAGGGCTTTCTGGACGTACCCCCTGCCTCCTCTCTCGCAGGCAGATCGGGAATGCAGATGCGCTGCTCAGGGAGGGCAGTACACCAGTCCTTGTAGGCGGCCTCGACAGGGACCCTTCGGGTGTTTCCGGTTCGGAGTTCGTTTTTTGAAGGTTTCTGGCGTAGGGCTGGCTTCTAAGGCAAGTACTCACTGCCGGGTCTTTCCACGGACCCTATCAGTCTGGACAGTCTCTCGAAAATGGCTCAAAGAAATGCGGGGTGTTGGAATACATTCCACGGTCCAAGGGTGCAGAGGCATGAGCTCGAATAAGCTTTTGGGGACGTTGACGTTGAACCAAAATGTGGGGCTTTATTGATTAAACCTTGAGTGATTGTTAGTTACCGTGTACTTAGGGATAGGGATTACAATGTGATACGGCTCCTGATGATTCGTGGTCAGAATACTGCCCTGAAAATCTGAAACCCAGAGCCCTGCAACCTGTGCCTTGACTACAACAGGCTCTAGGGATTGGGGTTTAGGGTTTGGGGTTTAGTCTTCGGGACACTTCAACCAAGAACTGCCAAAAAAATACCTCCGGTTTAGGGCTCAGGATGTGTTCTGGATGCGAGGCGACTTGCACTGAGGTTCCCGAAGCACAAAAGAAGAAAGCTAACAACCAACCCCCCCCTTTCGAAACAACAGGCACAGGGCACACACACACACACACACAACTCCCTGCTTCTTAGGAACGGGGGATTGAATGGATCCCTATAGTAGTCCCTATATAATCCCCAGAAATACTCGCCAGCATCCCTTCCCCCATTCCTCGCTAGGCACCAGGGAAACAATCCCCTACACCCGAGAAACCCCCTAAACCCTGAACCCTGAACCATCAGCCCTAAACCCCAAAAATCCCCAAACCCTGGACCCTGAACCCTCAACCCTCAACCCTAAACCGCCAAACCCTAAACCCTGAACCCTAAACCCCTAAACCCTCAACCCTAAACCCTGACACAAACCCGCCTTCTGCTGTGACACGTTTCCCAGGGCCTCGAGGATCGCGGCTCGAGCTTGAGCCGCGAAGTCCGGCGCCTCCTCCTTTGCAAGGCGCTCCATCGGATCATCTTCGAGCATTTATGGGGTCTGACGATGCTACTGATGAGGAGGAGGAGGAGGAGGAGGAGGGGTCGCCATCGTCGTCGTAAAAGTAGGAGCAGTATTTAGGATTTCGGGTTTAGGATTTGAGGGTTTAAGGGTTTAGGGTTTTAGGGGTGGTCAATCAGCAAAGAAGGGAGCGAGAGCAGGAGCAGGGCGAGCCATGGGCTTCCCCGGGGCTTGTAACTGCCGGAAGGGTGAAAGAGCCCTGTTCTTACCTTGGGCTAGTGGGGAATGGAGGAATGGGGTACACCATAACTACTATTACTAACCATTCTTCCATTCCCTACTAACCAAAGGTAAGTGCTAAGGAAGGATCGCAGCATCTGGGGGTTTCCGAAAGTTGGGGGCTATTTAGGGTACTATATTAGGGTCCCCCTATTTTTGGAAACCCCCATTTGGAGCTGAAGCCGAGTCATCCCTGCCCAGAGACTCCAATATCCGCTAATTAAGGAATATTCCTTAAATCATATTAGGGATCCTACTATAATTTAAGGCATATTCCTATTTAAGGGATTCCTTAAATCATATTAGGGATCCTACTATAAGTTAAGGCATGTTCCTTAATTAAGGGATCTTGGAGTCTCTGGGTGTGAGACTGTTTCAAAGAGCCCCGAGGCGAGAAAGACTCAAAAAACCCTACACCCTACTCGGAGGGGCAGGGGACTTAGTAAGGGATCTAAAGGGCTCCTTAAAGGGATCTATAGGGTTCCTGTTAAAGGGATCTACGGGGTGTAGGGTTTAGGGTCTACTTGAAGGGGCAGGGGACTTAGTAAGTCGTTCATAAGTAGGGTTTTAATTGGGGTAACTCCATTTAGGGTACTTATAACTCTACTTATAACCTACTTACTAAGTCCCCTGCCCTTCCAAGTAAGCCCTCAAGCTTAAACCGAAGTGGGTAGTTGTCAAAATTATGGTCCCCTGTTGGGGTGCCCTAAATATTAGGTGCCGTATTATATCAAGGACCCAAAAAGGGACCCGCATTTTGACAACCACCCAAGTCAAAAGACTAATAACTAATATCCAACGCTGAACGCGATGAGACCTTCATAGAACCCTACACGTCGACAACCCTAAACTGGCAGGTCGGGGGAAGCTTGCCCGAAGAAACCCTCCATCCCCAAATGCTAGACTGAACCGTCAGACAGGCCCTTGTTTCTTTTACGGTTCAGGGTTTGGTTTAGGGTTTAGGGTTTAGGGAACCCTACAAGCACCCCTTTCGGAGCCTTACAAAGCCCTTCGAAAGCAGCAAAACAAAACACAACCCTGACAGAACCCATAAGACACGTCGTGAGCAACCCTTAATCCGACAAAGCCTTTTTGAACAACCCTGAGAGAAAAGTCTTATCACCCTAAACCCTAAGCCCCTAAACCCTAAACCCTATACCCAAAAACCCTAAACCCTAAACCCCAAAACCCTAAACCCTAACCCCTAAACCCGCAAGCCCGCAAACCCCCAAAAGGACCCTTACAAAGCTCTTTCAGAACCCTTGGCCTGCTCGATGGGTTGCGCCCACAGGTGGCAGTTCGGAACTTCTGTGACAGCGGCAGATAAGAAGGGGCTGTCATCCTCCAGGGAAGCCAGGGTGTAGGGCGTGGGGGCTTTGGGGTGTAGGGGCTTCGGTTGGGGTTTTGGAGTTTATTATGCCTTCCAATTTTCGGTTTGAGGGTTCAGCGTTTTCGGCAAAACCATTCCCCCCCCTCCCCCCAACTCCAGCCATCATTGCATCTAGCCTGGAGCTTCCCCAAGCCCAGAACCCAGGACCGACTCAGAAACACCGAAGTCCATACCGAGAAACCCAACGTCCAGAACCCAAAACCCCTAAACTCCATAAACCCTCGGCTCTTTCACCTCGGCGCCGAGGATGCGGTTCCGTAGCTCCTGCAGAATTTCCGGAGCCCCCTTCCTGAGCTGCTCACGAAAGCGTTTTCAGATCAATAAAAGGGTCTGAAGTATGGTTGGTTTCTGCGACTTATTTGTCCTATAGTGGCCTGAATCATGCCGGTGTGATCCCTTTGGCCCCCCCTAGTATCATGATACTAGAACAAGCCCAAAGACCGTATTGACGCACTGAAGATTCCGGCAGATAACTAAGACACCGCCAGCACCCACAAGGTTGACGCCAGGAAGCAACATCAAGCATCTGATTTCGAACGAAACCGTAAAGCTTCCAGAACCGATTCTAAAATCGCCCCATGCTGCGTCCGCGTGATTCGCCAGGTGCCGCCAGTCTCATCCGGCTCGTCTGCCTTACTCTCTCCTGCGGTTTAGGGTTTAGGGTTTAGGGTTTTGGGTTCAGGGTTTAGGGTTTAGAGAGGTTTTGCGTAAAGCATGTCGGTGTTTGGCTGTTGGGACTTGATGTCGAGCAGCACTGAGGGCTTTTGAGGCTTCCGGGATTCAGCTTTCAGTTTTTGAGGCGGTTTTACGTGTTCTCGTGCTTCAAGCTGTAGCTGGCTACACACCCTAAACCTACTTGTCGGATATCATGGAGAACTAAAGGTTAACCTTTTTGGTTATATAGGGATTATATAGGGACTATACTTCCCAAAAAAAGTTAAAGGTTGCCTACTCTACTACTAGGTAAACCCCAAAGTGCAGGCATGGCTAAAGACCCTCGGGACGGCACGTCTGCCCGCCCGTCGGTCCGTCTGTCTAACTGTCTAACCGTCTCTTCTTCTCTCAGGCATATGGGGCGAGGAAGGCCCCCCCGGCGCTAAGATGTAACGGGCTTTCAACGGGTGTGAGAATATGATGGCTTATTGACCGAAAGGCAGAGTTTCTTATATTGGATATGTTAGTTCGGTCATCCCCCATATTTTGAAGACATGTTAATTTGTTCACTTTGTTGCAATTCCCCTTCCTGCCCATTCGAGTAATGGCGTAGGGGGAGATTGGGAATTCAGTACGATGACAATTGTATGCAGGGGAAGTGTCTGTTTGTAACATCAGCTACGAATCACAGTGGACATCTCCTTGATTATTGCCCCCTACGAAGAGAACTTGCTATCTCCGGAGTGTCTTACAGTAAGTAGATGAGACATCGTCGTGTTCCGTTGCCCCGGGTTTTTGCACGAAAAGGCGAGGGTCGAGGCTACATCCGCATCCGAACTGAAAGTCTGAGAGGAACCATACTCTCTATCCTATCTCTCTCTCTGTCTCTCTCTCTCTGTCCTACTTGCTCACACTAACTACCTACCTACGTCGCCGTGTGTCCGTCCGTCCGTCCGTCTCTCTCTCTCTCTCTCTCTCTGTCTCTCTTTCCTGGTCCTTCCTGGCTTCAAGCAACTTAGGCTTGGGAGCTTGGAGAGGCTAGGCTTTTAGGCTTCGGGGTTAGGGTTTTGGCATTCCTGAAACTAGTGCAAAACCGTAGGCTATACGGTAATACACAATAGTCTCCTCGTTAGGATTTACTTCTATTCTGGTATCATAGCTTACGGCTTCCAGAAGAAGATGGCGGGCCAAGCTCCTACGAAGTAACCTCCTTCTTTTGCACGTCTGCGAAGCGGGTGTATTGGTATGAGGACTTCTGTGTATGTAGGTATGTGTGTGTATGGGCATATATATATATATATATAGGTGTAGTATTTACTAGATATATCCTAACATACTCGCGAGGACCCAAGAAGAGCCGAATCCTGTAAATTCGGGCCTCCTGTCACCTGTCAAAGCCCTAACCGATAACATAGAAGCTGAAACCCTAAACCTGAGCCTAAACCCTACCCGAAATTCTGAAACCCTGAACCCATTTCTCTACACGCCCTGGCTCCTGCCAGATGGACGGAGATCCAGGCGTCAGCCATGGTGAGCAGTCCCTCCGATGCTAATTCCTCCAGCTCCTCAGCCGTGGAGGGATAACCTGCCAGCAAGCATGAAGTCGGGATCTGTCTGCAACTGCATACATACGTGATTGTGTGCATCTCTCTACATACATACATACATACATACATACATACATACATACATACCTATGTAGGTATGTGCGTATAGGTAGGTAGGTTGGTTGGTATTTAATTAGGTGAGTGAGTGGGGGAGTGAGTGCGCAGGTATGTATGTACAGCTGCTTGTATGTATAGATACAAAAACTCTGCGCGTGTATATATATATATATATCCACACATATGTACATTGCTGGTTGATTGATTGGCTGATTGGTTGATAGGTTGATTGGTTGATCGATCGATCGATCGAATGATTTGATTGATTGACTGAATGATTGATTGCTTGATTGATTGGTTGATTGATTGATTGAGATGTGCATGTATGTATGTGTATATATATATATATATATATATATATGTATAGATATGTGTGTGTATAGTTATTTAATATTCGTTGCTGCTTGTTTTGTCCATCTGTTGGTTTACGCTTTCATACTTGCATAGACGTTATTCATTTCTCTTTCTGAACGTATCTATTCATAACTACATGTTCATCTACGTTTATATACTCCTATGATGTGCCGGACACGCCTGGTGATAGCATAGAATCAAATCTCCCAAACACCCCCCGAACCCTAAACCATACTAACTAAAACCCGAAACCCTAAAACTAAACCTCTAAAACCTAAAACCTAAAGACCCACATTTGTCACATCGGGAGTAGGCCTGTCACTAGGATCGTCAGATCCGGCGCATTCGGGGAGGAGACGATGCTCATCGACTTGGACCTCTCCTGATTTGGGGTTTGAGGCTCAAGGGCTCAAAGGTTTAGGGGCTCCTGGTACTTAAAGGATCATGGGACTTAGTAACTAGGGTTATGATTAGGGTAACTCTCCTTATAACTACTTATAACTGAAATTCAGGTACTTAAAACCTTACTTACTAAGTCCCATGATCCTCCAAGTGGAAGGGTTCCATTCAGGGTTCAATCCTGGAAGATCCCCTGGCTTAGAGGGTGTAGGGTTTAGGTTTCAGGGTTTAGGTTCATGGTTTAGGGTGCAGGGTTTAGGGTTTAGGGTGGCTTCTATTATTCGAAAAAGGACGCAGTTAGCACAAACACAAACACGGAACAGAGAGTTGAGCTCAATACAGAGGTCTGAGTGGTCAGTCAGCAATGTTTTCCCTTGATAGTCCCAGTGTAAGTGTGCTACTCGTATGAAACACCCCATAACCCGTCCTAATTCTAAGGCCCCTAGAGTAACCAATCCGGAAGCCTCATGGAAGCACTATAAAGGCCCCTGTAGAGCCCTTCTAAAGCCCTCATACAACTGGGAAGGCCCCTCCAGATTGACTTTTGCTCCTGCTCCGCCTCCACATCTGCTTCCGTTTTCTCTCCGGGCCTCAGAGTGGCTCGGGAAGGCATTAGGCTTAAGCTAAGGGTTAAATTAAACTTTTAAGAAGGTTGTTGGAGGGTTTAGAGTCTAGAGGTTTGAAGCCTCGGGTTTGAGTTAATGGTTTAGATTGTTTCGGTTTTGAGACTTAAGTCTTAAGATTCGGGGTTCAGGGCGTGGGGGCATGACTAGCTATTCTGGAAGGGTATCTTCGTTCATTGCGGTCCTTTGCAGGCACACCTGACTCAGAAGCCCCCATAAACCGTAAACCCTAAAACCCTACGAAGTATAACCGCCCGGGATCCTTGCAGCGGGAGCTCTGGGTATAGAGTGAAATCTGGGCTTGCATCTCTCTTTCGGGGCTTGGGGTTCGGGTTTAGGGGCTGAGGGTTTAGGGTTTAGAGAGGTCTTGCGTGGTAAGTAAGTACCTTAGTTGTAGTTATAAGTAGAGTTACCCTAATTACAACCCTAGTTACTAAGTCCCATGATCCTTTAAGTAAGCCTGTAAACCACTGAAGGTTGTTGGTTTGGCGGATCTGAGGGCTTCGGGGCTGAGGCATGCACTGTGGCCAGGAATCCTGCGCATACTTGGAGGATCATGGGACTTAGTAAGTAAAGTTATAAGTACTTTACTCGGAGCTGTAAGTAGTTATAAGTAGAGTTACCCTAATTATAACCCTAGTTACTAAAGTCCCATGATCCTTTAAGCATATCCCGGAACCCTTAACTTTAAACCCCGCGATTACGATGCCGGAATAACCGGCAGTGGCGAAGATCCGAGACTGCGTTACAGCGTGGGAGGGGCATCTCTGGACGAACCCTTGAAGTGAAGCAATCCGGAAGTTAAACCCTAAACCCGCACAACCCTTGTAGAAGCCTTATGACACCTCACAGAACAGTCGGCTCTGGCCCAAGCGACAACGCGAGGCGCCTGGCAGCATTCACCTTCTTGCGGCGGAGGCATGCGGCTTCAGCCTCGGTTGAGCACTGAATGCTGAATCCACGAGGCCCTAGAGTTGTGAGGCTTGCGGTTTAGAGCTCAGGGCTCCGGGTTTAGGGTTCTGGAGGTTTGAAGCTTCGCGACTTGGTGGATAGGATTGAGGTCTAAAGCCCCGCGGGCCTTGGCTTTCAAGGATCATGGTGATGATGATGGTAACAAAAACACGATGATGCAGCTGATGCTGGGGAGGGTGATCACAAGGAGGATGGAAGTGGCAGTGTTGATGAAGATGCCACCGACCATGTTGCTGACCACACTGATGATGGTGACGGTGATGACAACGGTGGTGGCGACGATGATAATCACAATGACGAGTGGAACGAGGATGACGAGGATGAACCCTCTGTTGATAGTGACGTGATGAGGATGATACTCTTACTGATGAAGGTGATGACGATGGTCATGATGATGGTGGTGATGGTCATAAGCATCATATCAAAGACTATGCAGAGACAGCGAAAACAATGCTGATGGAAAGGATAACAGTAGCGATGACAACCGCAGCAACAATGCCACCAGCAAGCAACATTTACGACTACAGCAGTGGCAACTACAGTTCAAACACAGTGGCATAGCCAAAAGCATAGACAAAATAGCGCAATCATCCTGATCGCAGGAACCACGATGAGTTCGGCGATGATGATCAGATGAATTGGGGCTTGAATACGAATTTCTCCAAAAGGAATAAACACATGTACACTCTGAACCCCAAACGAAACCCGTGAATTAAGAGACCCTCAGACAACCGTTCAGCCCTCAACGACCCTTCAAAAACCTATGAAACAATGAGGGCCCTTTAGAAGCCCTTCAAAGCCGTAAACCCTGAACCTTCGAACAACCCTGATGGGAGGCCAAGGGGGTTTAAGATTCTTGGGGTAGGCATTCCTTACTATAAGCCCTATTATGGGAACCCTAATCCTAATAACCCTGAAAAGGCCCTTAAAGTAAAGGCCAGAAAGTTGGAATATGATTATCCTAAACCCTTAATGGTAAATTATAGGATATCCTACCCTGAAACCATATTCCAACTTCTGGAGTTCCCTGTAACAATGCACATCCATCTCGGCCTCGACCTTGCGCCGGAGCCCCGCGGCCAAGGTCCCGCCCTCTGCAAGAGGCTCTAGATCCTCGGGGAGTGGTTTAGGAAGCTCAGGGCCTCGGCTTCAGTTTAGGGTTTACAGGGAACTCCAGAAAGTTGGAATATGGTTTCAGGGTAGGATACCCTATAATTTCCCATAGAAGGCTTAGGATAATCATATTCCAACTTTCTGGCTTTTACTTTAGGGTTTAGGAAGTTTGCGGCTCAGGCTTCAGTTTAGGGTTTAGGGCTTAGGGTTTAGCTCTTAGTTTACGGCCTGCCGTGATGGGCGCAGAAGCGAAAGTATCCCGGTCGTGTCGAGTGCATCGCGCACTGTAGCCCTATACCCGAAGCCTAATTAAACCCTAAACCCTATACTCTAACCCTAATTAAACCCTAAACCCTAATTAAACCCTAAATCCTAAACCCTAAACCCTACACCCTAAATCCTATATCCAGCCTGACTTTGGAAGGCTTTTCCTTCCTTCTCTTCCCGCAAAGCCAACTCTCCGGTACTAGGCACATTCCCAGAGAGCCCAATACCCCTTAATTAAGCAACATGGCTTAGATCATATAGGGCTTCATATTATGATTTACGCCATATTCCTTAATTAAGGGGTTTTGGGCTCTCTGGATTCTCTCCGCCGGAAATGGGCGCATCAAAGGCACACGGTGAGAGGTTGTGGTAGCTTTTGTTGCTTTCGAAAATCATCTACAAGAAACACAACACAGAACATCGAGCCCTAAACCATGAACCCTAAGCCCTACTTGGAAGGGCAGGGGACTTAGTAAGTCGTTCATAAGTAGGGTTATAATTGGGGTAACTCCATTTAGGGTACTTATAACTCTACTTATAACCTACTTACTAAGTCCCCTGCCCTTCCAAGTAAATCCTAAACCCTAAACCCCCAAAGTCTAAACCCTAAACCATTATTTTTTCGCCTTTCTCCGGGCAGCTGGCCAAATCAAACCTAGGTATCTAAGGACTCATATATTAAGGCTTTTGGGCCCAAAGACCACACAAAAAGGAGGCTTTTGTGCTATTTTGATCCCTACTTAGAGGATCATGGGACTTAGCAACTAGGGTTATAATAGGGTAACTCTACTTATAGCTACTTATAACCCCAATTAAGGTACTTATAACCTTAGTTACTAAGTCCCATGATCCTTCAAGTAGGGTAGGTCGGCTTTGGCGGGGGCGGGCTGACGCACTGCGATCGAAGTCGGAAGAAGTTGAGGGTTGAGGCTGAGGGTTCCTTTAAAGGGGTCCTTTAAAGGGCCAGTAACAGGGATCTGTAAGGGTACTATTTTGCAAGGGCCTTAATAATTAGTGTTGGCAGGTATTTAAGCCTCTATAGTAGAAGGGCGAGGACAATTCTTATAAGGAACCCCAACTCAGATACCTAGCCTTCTGAGACTCCCAAAGCTCCCGAAACCCTCAACGCTACACCTTCCACCCCAAACCCTACACCCTTAAACCTTAAACCCTAAACCCTCAACCCTAAACCTTAAACCCCCAAGCAGATTCCCATCTCTCCTTATAACTTCGAAGGAAAGCCCGGATGTCCTCGCGCGTGGCCAGGCTAATGGGACCCGGCAGCTCACCAGGCTCAGCTTTATACCTGCTTTTCAGGGTTTAGGGGTTAGGGTTTAGGGTTGAGGGCTAGGGGTTTAGGGTTTAGGGGTTAGGGTTTAGGGTTGAGGGCTAGGGGTTTAGGGTTTAGGGTTTGGGGTTTAGGGCCTAGGGCTGGGGGTTTTGGGGTTTAGGGTTTTTTTTGTTTAATGCAATGGCCCTTTCTCCGGTTTAGGGGTTTAGGGTTTAGGGTTTTAATATGGGGGCCTTAATAATTAGAATAGGGTTCCTTTTAAAGGGGCCCTTTAAACTTTAAAGGGTGCTATTGTATAGGGGCCTTCATAATCAGAAAAAGGTTTCGGCGCCCTTTATACTATATTTATAATAAGGAACTCCACACTACGGCTGATGATATAAATCCTGCATTGCCCATAATAAGGAAGATACCATAGTTCCCATAGTTTAGGGTCCTTAAGGTAATGCAGGATGTATATCATCAACAGTAGTATAGGTAGTTTGTTGAGGCCCCTAATTATGGTAAGTTCAGGTCTAGGGTTGTCGGCGCGGGGTTGAGGGTGGGGCATAGGGTTTGGGGTTTAGGGTTGAGGATCTCGGGCTGAGGGCGTGGGGTTTTGAGTTTGGAGTTTTAAGGGTTGGGCTCTGGTCTGTTTGAGGGCTTCGGGTTTAAGGTTTAGGGTTTAAGGGTTTAGAGTTAAGGGTGTTGGGCTTCGGATTACGTACCTTGATGCCCGTATGCATGTACAGAAGGGGGAGAAAACAATCAAAAGCAAACAACCTAAACCGCAATCCCAGAACTCTGCTCCCAAATCCCAACCCTACGCCCTGAGTAAAACCTTGCTCGGTAAAGCCCCACCCAACCCATTCGCTCCCCCCCCGAACCCTAAACCCTTATAATACCATAATACTATATTACTATAATACTATACTACCATAGTACCATAATACTAGACTATAATACCATAATTTGGGTATGGCCCCCATACAGTAACAGTCTATAATAGGGCTACTATTAAGGGCCCTATATATCTATATTATGAGTGTTATCCAACTGTTACTGGGTGGGGGCCGTACCCAAACCATAATACTATATCACCATAATACTATACTACCATAGTACCATAATACTAGACTATAATACCATAATACTCTAACATAATCCTCGACCCTGAACCCTGACTACTAAGCCCCAAACTTCTGAAATCCCCCTACCCTGGAAGCCCGGGGCCCTAAACTCCCTAATCTGGGGGGCCTTAAGAATTAGAATAGTGTTCCTTTAAAAGGAATCCTTTAAAGGGCTAGTATAAGGGATCTATGAGGGTACTATTATATAGGGGCCTTAATAATTAGCATAGTGTTTGGGGGCCCTTTATAATATATCTATAGTAAGGAACCTCCACACTCGGTGTGGGTAATTATTAAGGCCCCTATACACCTTCAAGGTTTGCGCTCCTACAAGCAGATATTGGTCTATGGGCCCTGACAAGGGAGACCGATAATCTCTAAACCCCAGGAGTTACGTTTTTAGGGTTTAGGGCTTGGGGTTTAAACCTTTGCAAGCCTAAAGAAATTAAACCCTAAAGCCCCAAACCTTCATAGACCCGATCTTTAAAAAAACCTTTTTGGAAGCCCAATAGGGCCCACCTGCCCCAAAACAACCAATAAAAACCCTGGAGACAAACTATAAACACCCGAGCAACACCCCTAAACGCCTGAAGCCTATAACACGTTTAAGGAGAACGAGCAACACCTCTAAATGCCCAAAGCCGTAAACCCTAAACCCATTGGTGCAATCCACTGCAAACCCTCAACCTCTAACTGCCCGCAGCCCTCAACGCTGCCCGTTCTGCTCTCTGTATAATCAGGAACCCCAAACTAGTGTAGGCAAGTACTAAGGCCCCTATAGTAAATGCCCCGAAGCTCAACACCCTTAACCCTAAACCCTAAACCCCTGACCCTAAACCCTCAACCCTAAACCCTCAACCCTAAACCCTAAACCCTTAACCCTGAACCCTAAACCCGAAGCCCTCAAACAGACCAGAGCCCGCCTGGCGAACGCGTCGACGGGATCGAAATCTTTCAACTCTGGATCCTCTCCATCGGCTGCCGGGATCTCCTCGGCAGCCAATAGAAACGTAGAATTAAAACAAGAAGAAAGACAACAAAATACCAATAATAACAATAAAAATAGGAAAAACAGCTATATATATATATATATATATATGTGTGTGTGTGTAAATGCATACATATACATCCATGTACATATTATGTTCTGTTCTACTGCAGTACTGTACTACACTGGACTATACTATATTATATTCTTTTCGAGTCTATTCTACTCGGGTAGCTTTTACTGGCTTATATTCGGCGGCTGTCTTTTCATTATACTAGAATGCTCCGGATAATGCTAGGCAATTGTTGATGATATTCTGTTGTTCCGTTGTATTACATTCTACCGTGTGCATGTATGAGTGCTTGCTTGTACATATGTAACAGGAGGAGAGGAGAGAAGCGAGAGAACAAGAAAGAGATAGAGGAGAGAATGAAAGAGGGAGAACGAGACAGGCTGTACTTAGCTATTGCCAGCTACCTGCCGCCATCTTCGTGCCGTTACTCGCACACACGTCCATTCAGTCGCGGTTGCGTGTCTTACTTACCGCTGGTTAGTAGGGAATGGAAGAATGGTAGTAGTAGTTATTATAGTTATACCCCATTCCTCCATTCCCTACTAACCAACGGTAAGCTTAGGGCCATTGTCTGGAGTTCTTGGGCTCTGCCAGGATAACGGGGAATCGGGGGCTTCTTGGTTGCCATGTCGTTCCCTACTACTGGTAAGAACACACGATCAAAAGAGAGTACGACCTGTCATGGTGGTATCACTAGTACTAATGGCTTTTTTGTAGTAGCCGCAACTGATAATAATCGTCAGAAGTTACAACCTCTGGTGTTTCTTGAGCTCTGGGCGCTCTGTCAAACCCAAGCTTCGAGCGAGAAGATGTGGCTGAAGAGGTGCGCGATGACGAAGGTAAAGGGTGGATCCGGCAGATCCGGAGAACCTTCCGGCAGCTCTACCAGCTCCTCCTCCTGCGGGAGGGCCGTAGCCGGTGTGGCATTCTTCTTCGGGGCCATTTCTGCAAGTCACGCAGCGTCAGACAACCACTTTTTGAATGCCTGACGTGAGACAGGCTGTCTTAGCCCGTCTCGGAAAGGCTTCCACGAAGCTCTAACTAAAACTACAAGTAGCTACATGCTGCAAACGCCACCCTTCTGAGCCACGGCCGGCAGGGTGTTTTGTTCAGCAGTTATGCGACAAAAAGGACACAACATGATTCACTGAAACTCACATCCATGTGAATTGGGAGAAACTGCGCGGATCCTCACATTGCCGGAGCTGTCACAGAATTGCATTTATCGACACCAGCGACGACGCTGACGCCGCCGCCGGCGACGACGACTGCTGTGCTCCTACACCTACTGCTGGATCTCCGCTGTAGCACGTGCCGCATGGCCCCACTCGGCAAAGAAATGCAGGGACAGTGGAGGCACCACATTCGAGGACTCCGCCTGCATCAGACCTTGCGGCTGCAGATCCAGAAGCCAGCGGTTTATGCAGGCACTGTAGGACGTTAGTGCAGTTTGAAGGGTGTAGGGCCTGTGTGGGCAAGGGGGTTCGGGGACTGGGTGTATGGTTCTACTTACAGGATCATGGGACTTAGTAACTAGGGTTGCAACTAGGGTACCTCTACTTGTAACTACTTATATCCCCAACTAAGGTACTTATACCCTTACATACTAAGTCCCATGATCCTCCAAGTAACATCAGACCAAGCTTGTATGTGCGCAAGAATTCTAGTGCGCAGGGTCTGTTTTGGTTTCGGGCCAGGCATGGGTCCACGAAACGCTTAATGATTTCTCAGGACACCTCACGTAACATCCAAACCCTGCACCCTTCACCCTCGATCCCAAACCCTGCTTGGAGGATCATGGGACTTAGTAAGGTTACAAGTACCTAAATTGGGGTTATAAGTAGGTATAAGTAGAATTACCGTAATTATAACCCTGGTTACTAAGTCCCATGATCCTTTAAGTAAGCCCTAAACCCTAAACCCCATATATAGATCCCTTTAAGGAACCCTATAGATCCCTTTAAGGAACCCTATAGACCTAAGTCCCATGATCCTTTAAGTGAGGTGCAGGGTTCAGGACCCTCAACCCTGAAGTTCCCCAAAGCTCCCAGAAGCTGAACTGGAAACCCCAGACCCTGCAGCCCTAAACCCTAAACCCCTAAACCCTGAACCCCTAAAAGCCCTAAAACCCTAAACCCCTAAACCTCTACACCCCTAAACTCTAAACCCTAAAAGCCCTAAACCCCTAAACCTCTAAACTTCCAAAAGCCCAAACCCTGACCCCAGACAAGTCCGATGCTTTGTCTGCCGCGAGGATGCCCCGTTGGATGAGCGCTCCGGTTCACCTCCGCACTTAAAGGATCATGGGACTTAGTAACTAGGGTTATAATTGCGGTAACTCTGCTTATAACTACTTATAACCCCAGTTAAGAGACTTATAACCTTACATACTAAGTCCCATGATCCTCCAAGTACTCTGCTTTGGGGTGGTCTGCTTCCCAGAGACTCCAATGTCCCGCAATTAAGGAAAATACCTTAAAATATAGAAGGATTCCTAATATAATTTAAGGTATATTCCTTAATTCAGGGACATTGGAGTCTCTGGGTTTGGGGTGGTTTGAAGCCGGCTTCTAGGACGTAGGGCATAGGGTTTAGGGAGGTCTTTGTAAAGGTTCATACGGCGAGCCACAGCTACTATTACCCCCAAATATAGAAACCCTGGAACATTCTCCTCCGTTTTACAAACACCCGAATCCCCAAACCCCAAACCCAAAGTCCTGAGCCCTAAATCATCAACCGAAAGTCATCCCCCCTAAACCGTAATCATTTCTAACCGTTTCAAAGGAGCTAGGGGTCGGAAGCATTACCAATATCTTGGATACTGCCCCCATGCACTAACAGTCTATGATAGGGCTACTATTAAGGGCCTAATATATCTATATTATGAATATTATCCAACTGTTGCTGAGTGGGGGGCAGTATCCAACCAATATCCTTCCTGAGAGCTCCTTGACAAAACTATGACAAATAATATGGGAGTTTCCGAAAATTGGGTGTGCCTTATTTTAGGGGTCCCTATAATAAGGATCCTACTATTTAGGGTACTATTTTAGGGTCACCCATTTTCGGAAACTCCCATATACCGCACAACTGCAAAACGTTATTCTAATTACTTGCGCCCGTGTGTCACATCCTGAAAACCCTGATAAACCCTTTAAGCAGAACATAGAGCCGTTACCAGAACCAACTCTCTAGCTGCTACGGTCACTTTAAGAGGGGAAAGCCTCGTGGAGGGATCGGAGCATCCAGTGGTGCAGGTCGCTCGCAACCTGCTGGGACGGCCGGGTGCAGCGCAGGGCCTAGAATCCTAGAATATAGGGGCCTTAATAATTAGAATAGGGATTTGGGGCCACTATACTATAAATATAATGAGGAACCCCAAAGATAGTATAGTCAATTATTTTGGCCCCTATCTTATAGTACCGTTGTAGATCCCGGTTAGTAGCCCCTTATAGACCCCTTGGGCAGACCCTGCAAATTGTACTCAATGCAAAGAGAAGAGAACAGAGCATAATCGTAAATACAAAAAGCCAGACGACAAGCCGTCAGAAATTGTTATTGTGTTAACCATACACGGCAGTTGTTGCTTAACGATGAACTTCTTGAGAATTGTCTTTTGGTATTCCGCAAGCAGGATAATGAGGTCATAATTGCAATTCCTATGAACAATGAAGTGAAGGATATCGGCAGTAAGCAACCAGAGCACCGGAGCAAACCAGCGAAAACAGTTCGGTCGCTAAAGTCTATCGGATAATGCATTCATAAGTATAATATGAGCATACTTTATAGGAGGCATTATACGTATATTATGACTACAGTTAAAATCGATGAAGGAACCCTTGCCCGTTTTGTGTGAGATTACCACCTTAGGGAATATGGATGGGATAATTGGTTATTCTTATATGGGTCTTGCTAATGGGGTAGTCGTGTGATATTTGGGGGAAGTGTTAGGGAGTATAGGAATAATCCTCTTATATGGATGAGGTAATGGGTTATTCCTATACTGGTATTGGTACTGGGGGTGTAGTGATGACATTTTGGGTGGGGTGCAGGGTGGAGTATATGAATAATCTTCTAATTGGTGGGTTAGTGGTATTCTGGTGGTATTATCACTCAAAACGGGCAAGGGTTCTGCTAACTTTTTTATAAGGTTGAGGACTCCGGGCGGTCGCGTGAAAGGTTAGAGTTTAGGGAGGTTTAGGGTGTAGACCTTGCACGTTTTAGGATTTAGGGTTCGGGGGCTTATGGCCAGGGGTTGGGACGAGGGTTTATGGCACAGGGAAGTTCAGGGTATGGGGTGTAGGGTTTAGGGTTTAGGATGTAGGGTTCAAAGTTTCGGGTTTTGCAGAATCCTCCAAATTTCAGTGGGGTTGGATGATGTAGAATCGGCCCGAAACCTTTAAGGTTTCCTCTAAGGGGTTCTACAAGGGTTACTCGACGGATCTGTAAGGGGGTTTAGAATGCATAGGACATCCAACAATCAAATCTCAAAGCCTGAGACTTAGACCCTGAAACCCTGAACTCCGAACACTAACACCCTAGATCCTGATCCGTAATTAAACCTCGAGCCTAACCCGAGGACTTTCAGATGCCGAAGTAAACCCCAAACTCCAAACCCAAAACCCTAAACCCCAAACCATAAACCCTAAACCCAAAACGCCTCCTCACTGCGAGCTGCGCGGGATTCCGCTTGCTTCAGCTGCGCCTGACTTTGGGTTTAGAGCTCAGGGTTTAGGGTTTTAGGGGTTTAGGGCTTTAGGGGTTTAGGGTTTCAGCGGTTCAGGGCTTCAGTTGTTTAGGGGTTCAGGGTTTTAGTTGTTTAGGGGTTTAGGGTTTTTGGAGTTTAGGGGTTTAGGGCTTTTGGTCTTTAGGGCTTTAGGGCTTTAGGGTTTTAGGGGTTCAGGGGTTTATGGTTTTAGGGGTTTTAGGGGTTTAGGGCTTAGGACTTACTTGGAGGTTCACGGGTAAGTTTTAAGTAGGATAACTATGGTCATAATATAACCTTTATTAGGGGACTTATAACCCTACTTATATCTACCCATGAACCTCCAAGGAGGGTTTTGGGGTTTAGGGTTTAGGGTTTAGGGAACCCTAAACCCTAAACCCTAAACCCTAAACCGTACTACAGGAAGGTGACTTTTACGCCAGGACCTCGGGTTTCGGCTCATAGTCTGGGGCCGCTATGGATCACCATTTCATGTACTAGACCCAAGCATTGCTTTCACTTGCGGGGGTTTAGGGGTCTTTTAAAGGCTACTATAAGGGTTCCTTTAAGGGATCTATAGGGGTTTAGGGTTTAGGGACCCAAGAGTAAACTAGGAATAAAAAGGGTGCCCTTTTTGGTTTAAAGGGGCTTATAAGGGAACCTGAACCCTAAAAAAGGGAATAAGGGCCTACTCTAGGTCCTAGTGTATGACCTGTCGCTTCAGGATTTCGGCCTGACATAGGCAGCAGAGGGTTTAGGGTTTAGGATGTAGGGTTTAGGGTTTAGGGTGTAGGGTGTAGGGTTTAGGGTGTAGGGTTTAGGGTTTAGGGTGTAGGGTTTAGGGTTTAGGGTGTAGGGTTTAGGGTTTAGGGTGTAGGGTTTAGGGCGCCAAAGCGTTCCTGCGAAGAGGCGGCATCGTGGCATCGCATCTTTGCCAGGGCACAGCAGGTGGACGTCACGCGGGGCCCCTGTTCAGCAGCGATGATCATCCGCAAGCTGGCCGAGGAGAAGGCCCCAGAGGCCCAAACACTTTGGTTAGTAGGGAATGGGAGAATGGTAGTAATAGTAGTTATAATAGTACCCCATTCCTCCATTCCCTACTAACCAAAGGTAAGAACAGAAACCTTTTTCGACCAAGCTTTCTGGTCGTTTCGGCGTCTTTTGGCCCCGCTGAGATTGTTATAAGTAAACTTACCCTAATTATAACCCTAGTTACTAAGTCCCATGATCCTTTAACT